GTTTGTTATGTTTCGTGGAGCAGGTCGCCGCAGTTTGTTTTTGTTGCTGTTTGTGGAGCCTGGGCTGTTTACAGAGATCGCGTTTCTTTACAGTGTGTTCAGGGGACAGGCAGCCAGCGGATAGTGAGGAGATGTTTGCTGTATTTGATCAAAAAAAGTTTTGGCCTAAAAAATGCGTGACATTGCTTAGAGCACCTTTAAAAGTAGCTGGTGAAAGGCTTTGTACTGTTAGCATTCTGGAGGCACCATCAGCGTTGTCATCATGAATAGGGATGAACAGGAAGGTTGACTAGTCGCTCAACCACCAACTGATCACTAATGGCAAGTTTGACTTGTCATTAGTGTCGATTTGGTTTATTATTTTTAAGTGCTTTAAGAGGATAAGTTAAGAGATGCAACTTTGAGGAAAGAGCCTTAACGTACTGTAATAGCATGCGATACTGTAAGTCTGATAGTAGCATTACTGACCTCAAACTTTTCAACAGTAGGAGATTATTTGTTGACTTTCTGTCTAAAGGAATATCCCTGGCCATGATGTCATTTTCTTGAACGATTAGCCACTCGACAACTGATTTCCGAAATGCTAACAGAAGCCTTTCTCTAGGTGTTATAGACCTCATTGGTAAAGACTGCTGAGAAGAAAGTCTTCTAATACAAACTACACTACAGACACCCTCCACCGACTTTCTCTCTTACAAGTTGTCTTCGTGAATGTATAATAATTACACTTTTAGCACTTCACATCTGCAACGGGTTCCCTGAGGTCTGTCATCCTCTCATCAGGTGCAGAACTTAGCCACTGTGAACAAAGAGTTCAATCACTGTTCACCAATCAGCTAAGCTCTGCACCTGCTCTGAGAGTCTCTCCTCGACACGCGTTCACCCACGCCGTCGTTCCTCCTCTGCATTTCCTTGTCATCCTGTCGGAGGCCCACAGAGAAAAGCCACGTCGTCTTTTATTTTTATTTTCTGGAGCAGTGAAGACGGTGCCTCTGGTTGCCATAGCAGCCGTCCGAGCGGCGGTTGTGTGGTAATCCCTGGCAATGTGATTTTTATCTTAAGTCACAAATCAGCACGCCAGGAACCCACACAGCCAGCAGCATGAAAGGCAAAACCTGCAGATCCTCTTGCTCTCCTGCGATTGAGCACGCTTGGCTGGGCCGCCGATATGTCCCTCATTATCCCCATCAAGACGCATTTCACAGGCCTCCAACGTTCAGATTTCAGCCCCGACACATTTCTCAAGAGTTCTCTTACATGTGTCGTGTGGGATATTTTTAGATATTATTAGTCTTGAACATCTAGGAATTTTTTCCTAACATCTAGGAACTTTTTATCTCTCTGGATGTTTTTTTACATTAGGTTTACATTAGGAAAAAAACCAATGATGTGTACGAGTGTATATGATGAAGAGAAAAAAAATCAATTAAAATCCACTTTAAAGCTAAATATGCAAATGTTCTTTTTTAATGTTGAATCATATGGTTTTTGAATTTTTTTTATACCATTTTCAAGAAGTTTCAATTGAATGAAATTTAATAAAATAAAATGTCATGTGGTATAACCTTCAAGTAAAAATATATTACCTTATATCCTAAATACACTCACCGGCCACTTTATTAGGTACACCTGTCCAACTGCTCGTTAACACTTAATTTCTAAGCAGCCAATCACATGGTGGCAACTCAGTGCATTTAGGCATGTAGACATGGTCAAGACAATCTCCTGCAGTTCAAACTGAGCATCAGTATGGGGAAGAAAGGTGATTTGAGTGACTTTGAACGTGGCATAATTGTTGGTGCCAGAAGGGCTGGTCTGAGTATTTCAGAAACTGCTAATCTACTGGGATTTTCACGCACAACCATCTCTAGGGTTTACAGAGAATGGTCCGAAAAAGTAAAAACATCCAGTGAGCGGCAGTTCTGTGGGCGGAAATGCCTTGTTGATGCCAGAGGTCAGAGGAGAATGGCCAGACTGGTTCGAGCTGATAGAAGGGCAACAGTGACTGAAATAACCACTCGTTACAACCGAGGTATGCAGCAAAGCATTTGTGAAGCCACAACACGCACAACCTTGAGGCGGATGGGCTACAACAGCAGAAGACTCCACCGGGTACCACTCATCTCCACTACAAATAGGAAAAAGAGGCTACAATTTGCAAGAGCTCACCAAAATTGAACAGTTGAAGACTGGAAAAATGTTGCCTGGTCTGATGAGTCTCGATTTCTGTTGAGACATTCAGATGTTAGAGTCAGAATTTGGCGTAAACAGAATGAGAACATGGAACCATCATGCCTTGTTACCACTGTGCAGGCTGGTGGTGGTGGTGTAATGGTGTGGGGGATGTTTTCCTGGCACACTTTAGGCCCCTTAGTGCCAATTGGGCATCGTTTAAATGCCACGGCCTACCTGAGCATTGTTTCTGACCATGTCCATCCCTTTATGGCCACCATGTACCCATCCTCTGATGGCTACTTCCACCATGTCACAAAGCTCTAATCATTTCAAATTGGTTTCTTGAACATGACAATGAGTTCACTGTACTAAAATGGCCTCCACAGTCACCAGATCTCAACCCAATAGAGCATCTTTGGGATGTGGTGGAACGGGAGATTCGCATCATGGATGTGCAGCCGACAAATCTGCGGCAACTGTGTGATGCCATCATGTCAATATGGACCAAACTCCCTGAGGAATGCTTCCAGCACCTTGTTGAATCTATGCCACGAAGAATTGAGGCAGTTCTAAAGGCAAAAGGGGGTCCAACCCGTTACTAGCATGGGGTACCTAATAAAGTGGCCGGTGAGTGTATATCATATATTATAAATACATGTGAGTGTACATCTTAATATCTAGCAGTATTTTCAAAAAAGTTTTGCTTTTTTTTTGTTGTATATTTTAGGTTTCATTTAAATTTGAGTAATTTTGTTATGTGCTTTTGTCATTTTTATTAGTTTTTTATATTTCTATTTAGCCTATTTAGTAACTGCCCTGTAATAAAAAGTTCAGATTATCCGATATCCTCTATGACAATTTACACTTGAATGCATGTCGGTTGACTTTCAAATATTAATGAGCAAAGAAGTTTTATTAAAATATAAATACTTTTTTTTTTCCAAATAAATAATAAAAGATTGTCAAACTACTTAAAATTTTCCTGACATGATAACGAGGAAAACACTTTTTAAAATGTAATTCTTATCACATTTTTTCATTTAAATCCCATAAATAAAATATTCTCATCATAGAAAAGGTGTATTTGACTAATTGTATTTTTAATTTTAATTGTATGGCATATTAACGCACCAGTGGGGCTCGACAGCCTTAGTCAAACGGGTTGGCGCGTATGGTCGGGTTGCGGAGAGATTGAGAGATTGTGAGACTGTGGTTAGGTCTCAGCAGCAGGAGGGATGTAGAGGTCAGTAAGCTGGGCTGAGTTGAGTGGGGGACGGAGGGGGGTGACTCTGGGACGCCAGAGTCACTGTCGAGCCCTCTTGAGGTGTCGTGGGCTAGTCGACGAAACACTGAGGACGGAAGGTGCCCACTTGAAGACCCTAGAGATGTCCCCTACTCTGCTCAATCCAGACGGTTGTCGTGCTGGTCCTGTAGTTGCAGCCGTCGCGTGTGCTGACGCGCCAAGTACACTGCTGCCGTTAACGCCGGACAGAAGGGGAGTCACACCACCATATAGAAAGAAGCGTAAATGGATGGAGAAGCATAGTTTACTGTAAAGCTACGTCTTAGTGTTGCTTATCTTGGCGAAAGCCGAGTACAAATCAGCATGAAGTTTTAACATCTACTCTCGTGTAATGGAAATCTTAAAGTATTTGTTAATAAATTATTAGACAAGTGACACATCATTGACCCAAAAACTTACCTAAGCACAACACCCATTATTCAGGTCTGATAGCTTTTTGTCTGGTGTACCTCAAAACAACAAGTGTGACCTGCTATTAGAGTTTAGCACATTTCAGGGCACGTCCGAGCAAGGCAGGAGCCCGGTGTGTGTACCGGAGATTTATTGACAGCGGCTAGACACTGACCTCTGAAGGCAAACAGGCTCTCTGAGAATGAAAATGCTGCATTAGCGACGCACAAATTGCAGAATGATAGTTTTGACCGGCATGATTCATCCAAATCAAGTGACATAAACCACAACGGCTTGGAAAAGCCGCCCGTCTCCTCCGAGTCCTCAAACAAATAAAACTGTCTTGTCGGCAGATTAAAAGCACCACAGCTTCACCAAAAACTCTGGAGCGAGACGACTAATGGATTTATCTCAGGGCCCGTAAGTTGTCTCTTTCCCATTGGCTGAGCAGCGGCCTGTGCTGCTCGGTTAAACAGAATAATACCTCAGCGTGATGTTGAGATAGGAGGCTTCAAAGCCAGACAATTACTCTTTCTTCCGTTCATGGTTACCACCATATATCAGTCCCTCACAGCTTTTAAGGAAGCAACAAATTATGTGGACCCAGGGAATCCCTCCCTTGTAGAGGCAGGGATTTCATGCAGTAAGGGCACAGGGATCCACCTCTCTCCTAAAGCCCTGGAAAAAAAAGCTGCTGCCCCGTTTCTTTTCTGGTGCTTGGGAATTGTTTGAGGAGCACATTCCGAATTCATCATAATACAAACAGATCTCGACAGGCTTCCTGGAAAAGTGCAGATGAGGCAGGAGGGAGCTTCTGGAAGAATGTGAATGTGGCGTTGGCCAGGACACTGGGAGTGGATCTTTAATAATGTGGGGAGTAAAAACAAAAGGGCTTTTTTAGGACTTCTGCGTCTGAGTGAGTTTTTTTTCCAAAGCAGCTCTTACATAATTTACGATTTTTTCGTTAAACGTGTCCAAGTAATGGGACTCGGAGCCATTCAAATCTCTTGACGGTTCATGAGCTGATTGTGGAACCTTTTGTCGAATTTTTTCCAGAATGAGCGGATTCAAACTGAAAATCGTTTTTGACTTCAAACTACAGTAAAGGACAGAGGGGACGTGACACTGTTACCTGATCTGTCTGAATTCAGAGGATCATTTCCTCCACAACGCTGCGTGCTGATTGGTCCATGTCATCTTTAATGAAGGATAGACAACGGCGTGCTAATGCTTGCTGCCGGGCATCTTCCTGGACCATCAACTCGCCGTACAAATACACACCCATGGCCTAGTACACACAGACACACACTAGAATCAAGAAGCGTTCTTTATGAGGGGAAGAGATCTAAGCTCTGTTCCTAAACCTAGTGAGCTCGCTTACTGCCTACTACCTACACAGGCAGCTCCCTTCCAAGGCAGCATCTTGACTGAAATATCATAATATACATTTGTAAGTACACTACATACAGTATAAGTATATTTTATAAGCAATTTTCCATTTTATAGCTCAGTGCATTGTATTCTGGGATTGAAAAAATATGATCATGCCTTAAAAGGCTGGCCATAAAGACAGCTCATTAAGTTTGGGAACAAAGCGCTAGAGAACCACTCATGTACCTGGTCATGGATCAGAAAGAGCTCAACGTCTCGGTATGCCGCTGTGTGTTTATGCTTGACCGCAAGTTCACACCAGCGATGTTTCACCTAATAAGAACGAGACAGATAGAAAGTGATTAAACAAGATGAAAGCAGTCCAACAGCTCTGTAATAACACTGAGCTCACAGGACGTCACCATCTGGAAGAATCACACGCATATGGGGAAATCTGGGAAAGCGCATGACTCTGTGGTTTTGTTATCAGTGTGTTTTATGTTGAAGCAAGCGTGTGTCAGTGGAGGTGTGTGCTCTGTTTATGCTTGATGTTCTCTCTCTCTCTCTCTCTCACGTATAAATGGAGGCTGTGTTAGCGCAGCAGAGCGGAGAGATCACAGACTGGCTCTGTCTCTCCCTCATTCTCATTCCCGTTCTGGTTCTTTGCTGTCATTCAACTCTTTCCTCATAGTGACCTAACAACAGCAGCGCTGAGCACGGCCCAAAGCCTGACCTCATACACGCCAGGGGGATCTCATTACACATTTCTATCACTGGCACACTCATCATTTTTAGGAGTGACCGTATTCAAAGGAATATTCCATTTTCAGTATGACATTGGCATAATGTGCACTCTAAAATATAAAGGTTCCAAAAAGTGTTTTTCACAGTGATGCCTTGGAAGATTCATTTTTGGTTCCCCCAAAGAACCTTTCAGTGATCAGTTCAGAACCATGTTTTTCTTAGTGTGAAGAATATTTTAATAGTCTAAAGAACCTTTTCCACTATAAAGAACCGTTTGTGCGATGGAAAGGTTCCATGGATGTTAAAGGTTCTTCGTGGACACATCAAATCCAATAAAGAACCCTTATTTTTAAGAGTACTGCAAAAATAATAAGTTACTTGTTTTCTTAGGTTACAGTAGCCTGGTTTCCATTACAGATTTGCGCAAAATGTTTGCGATATCTTCTAAATGTCAATAAAAACCATTAACCAATGTTATGCGACTAAAACTTTTTTTTTTTCCTCTCACGATAAGTCATTCCAAACATGGCAACGGATAAACTGTCTTGATAAATTGTGGCATTTCTCTTTTGTTTAGAATCCAGTATTCCTGTAATTCTTGAATAAAGTTTAATAAAGAACTGTCTAGTCTTCGTGTCCAAACATACCGAGCCGTCTTTAAAGAATTTTTTACTTTTACGTTATATCAGGTGACCTGTAAATGCGTAAAAACTGACATGTGCTAGTTTTTGCGAAATTGACGCGTTTCCAATGGCTGTTTTTTTTTTCAATTTGCGCAATTTGAAGGGTAATGGAAAGGCAGTTAGCCTTTAGGCACTTACAACCTTTAGGCACTTACAACGTGAATGATGCCATTTTTTTAACTTTATAAAATAGAAATCTGAACCGTATAATTTTATAAAAGCACTCAAATGAATTCCTCTATTAAAATGCATCAAGTTGTTTAAATCATGATTTTTTTTCTTTTCGTTTGAGGGTTCATTTGTCATTCCGACAGGTTTAAAAAAAAAAAAAAAAAAAAAAAAGGTAAAGTGATTTCTTTCACACTAACATCATGTTTATGCATTTGGCAGAAGCTTTTAATTAAAGTTAACACAGTTGCGTTTTGTGTCTAAAGCTACTATTGAGTACTTTAAGGTTTATGCATTGGCCCCATTCACTTCCATTGTAACTCCTGACAGTAAGCCAGATTTGAGCAGAGACGAGTTGACATTTTTTTTTGTGATAACTAACATTATGCCTCAAATGCTTTAAATTTTGGTTAAGTGAATCCACTGATTCAGAGGTTGGACATGTTAGTTTTGCATCATAATAAGCATGTTAGTGATCTTAAGCAAAGTCTTTCGCTCCCCCACATGCAGCAGGGGTTTAATCGAAGCTGAATAGGCGGGAGCTCGCGGGGCCTGAAGGTGGCAGGCAGTTTAATGATTAATGAAGTTAGATTGTGTGAGTGTGTGTACAAGTGTGTGAGAATGTTTGCTTTAAGACGAGGTGTGAAGTGACTCAGGACAACAACAGGAAGCAGCGGCACTGCAAGGAGCCTTCCGGTCCCAAACACCGTCTATTTAAGCAACATGTTCAAATGTCAGGGTGCAATTACGAGGAATGAGGTCGCAGTCTCCTCTGTCTTCACCTGCCCGCAAACCTTATCATTTCAGCTGATCGCTGTTGTGTTTCTTGTTTTGTTCTTTCTCTTTCATGTGTCAAATGCTGTTCATGCAAAAGTTTGCACAGACATGATTTCAGTCTCCACTGTTCAGTCAGTTTAACAAAATTAAAGGTGCTTTAGTGAGAAGATAAAACCTGACATATTACATTATTTAAAAGCGAATACAATCAAAAGATACAGTACATTGCAGGGACTGTCACACCTCTTCTAACTTTTACCTCAGTGGAAAAATGTACCATCAGACGTCTACAGTATGTGAAATCTGTGGCAGGATATTCATAGATCAGAAATCTTTGTGGCAACTTATTCCCGTTGGTAAGCAAGCAAATTCAATCAATGAGGAACAAAATGTTTGTGACTGGTAATATTAGTTTTCACCAATTGACTGGCCTGAGTTATGATGATGCGAGTGCTCTGATTTATGATGATGCGAGTGGCTTGTGCTCTTTGAATCAAATATGGAAAAGTGACCAAGCTTCCATTATAGGAAGAAAATTAAATAAAAATGAATCAAATATTTGGAAAGTTGGAATGTGTTGAAAATCACAATCATATCTTTAGCATTTTATGCTGTTTATTATTTTACTAATAGCTATCATGGACTTTTTAAAAATAAAATGTAACTTTCAATGAAATAAACTGCATAAAATAGATGTAAAATATGCTTTTGGTTTTGATGTGAAAGTGTAGTGTAGGACGCACGACAAATTTCAGAAGAGAAATAAAACCAATATATATAACATTTGTTTTCCCCGGCACAAAAATGTTGCTATTTAGCAATTTTGTAGTGAAAATGTTGGCAGGCAAGTACAAAATTATAATTACTGGCTGGCTGGGCATTGCTAACTTGTGAAAGACTTGCGAAACACACACACACACACACACACACACTCACATACTTGTCTATGTGGTTTACGGGGACTCTCCATAAAGGTTTTTGTACTGTACAAACTGTATATTCTGTCCCCCTACCCATAAACCTACCCATCACAGAAAACTTTCTGCTTGTTTTGAATTTCGAAAAAAAACACACACACCTTTTATTATGTTTTTTAAGCCATTTGGTTTTCCATGGACACAGGAAGTGTCTCATAAACCATGTTTATTTTGTAATACCTATGTCATTATAGACATTTGTATCCTCATAATAAACCACATATACGAGAACACACACACACACACACACACACACAAAAAGAAAACCAAAATGCTTTCCCGTGAGGGTCACAGAACCACTCGCAGCCCACAGAAGCCACAGTGACGACAGCCACATACTGGAGAAAACACACATCAGTAATTAGCAGAAAGGCAAATACCTCAGATACACACACAGCATAGCACATCTGTCTAGACACAAACAGCAAGCAAACCTGTGTGTATGGGATAAAGGTTCCTCTCGCCTGGGGTGTGGTAACAGTTAATGATAACAATGATCTAAACTCCCACAACAGGAAGACATTTTGTTCAGTCAGACAGCCTGACCTACATTAACCTAACCTAAGGACACTTGAAGAATCCAATAAACTTAATGCGCACGCAGCATTAGGTATCTCACTCATTAAACCTGACGGGAGGAGGAAGGATTTAAGAGGTATTGGTGAATGTGAGAGAAAAATTGCTTAAATGATGATCTGGTGGCTTAAAGGGATAGTTCATCCAATTACTTACATTTCAGTCTATTTCTTGCATAAAGCTTTAAGTCTAGCATATGAACAGTGTGGACTACTGGATGGATGTTTTTATTTAATAAATTTAAATGTATTTAAAAACATCCTAAAAAATATATAATTTAACTTAAATACACATTGAATTTAACTTAAATAATACACATTTAATTTAATTATATAGATTTATATATACACTAATTTTTTTATATTAAATAATATAAATGTAATTAAATTTGATACATTTATACATATACTAACGTTCAAATATTTGGGGTCGGTAAGATTTTTTTTTTAAAATGAGTTAATACCTTTATTCTGCAAGGATGTATCTAATTATTCAGAAGTGACAGTAAAGACACTTTACAAAAGATTTCTATTTCAAATAAATGCTGTTCTTTTGAACTTTCTATTTATTAAAGAATCACCCTGTTTCCATAAACATTAAGCAGCACAACTGTTTTCAACATTGGTAATAAATCAATTATCAAATCAGCATATTAGAATGATTTCTGGAGGATCATGTGACACTGAAAACTGGAGTAATGATGCTGAAAATTCAGCTTTGCATCACAGGAAAAAGTGACATATTTTTAGATATTTAAATAGAAAACAGTTATTTTAAATTGTAATAATATTTCACAATATTAATGCTTTTGCTGTATTTTTGATCAAATAAATGCAGCCTTGGTGAGAATAAGAGGCTTTTTTCAAAAACATTGAAAGATCTCACCAATTGAACAGTTGTGTATATATTTAATTATATTTGTCATCTTAGAGCCAGTGGCCTCATGGGATGGCACAGTGTCGACTAGCTGCACACTTCAGAACTTCAACAGATGTGCTACATCATCCAGGTACTGTTCAATTGTTCTGCTGCTTTTTGCATTCTGTGTAGCAGGGAAGTATGTATAAATGAATGCAGAAATTATACGTAAAAGAGCAACGCGGACGCTCTGTAAGATATCACTTTTTTGTGTAGAACAATCATAGGAATTTCAGGGTGAGTAGATGATGTCATCCATCCATTTGTGGGTGCACTGTTCCTTTAAAGTGAGGTCAGTATGTCTGATGACTATTGGCAGACCTCTGTGTCCACAGCAGACTAAAGTAACATGCCATGAGCATCAGTGATTACACTGCATCTGTGGGAGCGTTTCTGTGTGCATGTACACGTTTGCTTGCAGTAATAAATTGTGGAATGTCCCGTGTAATTACTGCGTCTCTGGAGAGAGAGAGAGAGAGAGAGAGAGAGAGAGAGAGAGAGACTGCAGCTGTCCTGCCTCAGGGGTCTCCCCAGGAATGCAGCTCAACTCTGATCCCCTCTGCAGCTGCCGGACCAGGTCTAAACGGGGCACAGAGGAGGGCACAGCGACACACATGCATGTAAACCCGTAACCATGCGTACTCAAGCTTATTTCCAAACGGTCACATGCCAATATACCAATACGTGCCTTTTAAAACCAGTAGGTTAAGCCCTGTTGGACACATGGTGACATTATGCACACACCGAGATTGATATAAAGATACGCCAGCCTTACAAGAACTTCCTGAAACAGCAGATGGCGGGACTCCATCATAACCAGACAAAAGCCTCAGGTCATTTATCACCAGTGATGCAATATTTCATAATACGTCAAGAGCGCAACCTTTAAATGATGTGGGTCACGTCACCCTAGGAAGAGATCATCCCAGAAGTCCCTGTCTGATCTGTGAGTTTAATTACTGTGCATTTTAAGTTATTTGGTTAATGAGTATTGTGCTTTCTTGTAGTTATAAGTTTTAGTGAAACGTGTTAGTCATTCGGTCTCATTCATTAATTATTGAGTACAGAAAAAGTTCCCACGCAAAATTTCCCAGGTGCATACACACATTATTCTCATTCTGATGTTGAGGAAAAAGGATTATTCTAAAAAGAAAGCACGCCCCCACAGTGAACATAATACATGCTCAAATCACCATTTAATGGCCTTTCTGCACCTGTACAGGTGGAAACGCATCCTTGCGCTCTCGAAAGAGGAGCTCTCATACACGAAAAGCAAGATATTTGAGTAAAACCAAGTGTGCCGGTTTCAGAATCACTTGTAATTACTTGTCCAAAAAAATTCAACAGGCTTATTGGAAAAACGTACCTCTATACAGTACATTTTTGCAAAACGCAATGTAGGTAGAGGATAATAATAAATGTTTCTTGAGCACCAAATCAGCATATTAGAATGATTTCTGGAGGATCGTGTGACACTGAAGACTGGAGTAATGATGCTGACAATTCAACTTTGTCATCACAGAAAACAGTCATTTTAAATTGTGATACTATTTCACAATATTACTGTTTTTACTATATTTTGATCAAATAAATGCAGTCTTGAGCATGTGAGACTTCTTTCAAAAATATTTAAAAAATATTACCGACCCCAAACTTTTGAGTGGTAGTGTATATATTTAATTGTAGATACTTTTCCTCAATATTATACCATAGAATAAATAATAATTATTGTATGTTATTTATTTTACGTTGTTACTAGTTATCAGATTTTTTGGTCACACTTTGATTTAGGGTCCAATTCACACTATTAACTAACTATTAACTACAACCTTTGCCTCAATAAACTCCTAATTTATTGCTTATTAGTAAGGTAGATGTTAAGTTTATTGGGTAGGATTTTAGGTTGGACCCTAAACTAAAGTGTTAGCGATTTTTTTGTAATACAAATATGAATAAATATATATATTTTTTGGCTAACAACATTCCAGGTTTCTAAAGCCGACTATTTTAAACCTTTAATTTAAGTGCATCAGCCTACTGATGAATCCTAATTTCTGTGTAAAAATGTTTACACCGAGGTTTTAAATACTTGACTATGTGTGGTAAATGAAAAAGATTCTTGTTTTATGCTGTCACCGTTTCATGTTGTTTGGATTCCAATAAAATGCTTTTCAAGTGGAACGGGTGTCATCTGATCTCTCATCAAGCAGCCCATGTTACGATTCATGTGATTTTTTTCCAGGAACACACATACTATTACAGAGCACTTCTGATATGCCTTTTATCAATCGCTCTCCTCCTGGCCGGTTGTCCGTGTGAACTTTGTGACCGGGTTTTGAGAGTAGCTGTGATACAATGCGTTCTGTGTGCCTGACCAACAGATGGTATTCGCACTCACGCGCAATATACACACGCACACGAGTCCTCACATGAAACAGCATACCACAACGCTTAGCCCTCATGCTTTTGCCTGTGCTCGCACGAAATACACGGCACACATCCCGCGTCAAGGACTGAGAGGTGCTATTCTCTCCTAATCTAAGCGGAATCCATCCCAAATACTGTTCAAACACCTCAGAAACTCCTACGCAGGGTTCTGAAGTACGATATTGTGTAATGGAATGGAGGCTGTACTGAAGGCGGATTAACTTAAACCGCATCCTAAATTTGACCCTCTAGTATTCTTCTAAATGAATCATAGTTTCTTTATTCCCTTATAATTCAAGTATAAACAAAATATCTTCGAACACACACACACACACGAAAGCGCATGTTGGGTTTTCATATTTTAAGGGGACTTTCCATAGACAATCACTTTCGTTTGGGTCCAATTCTCACTATGAACTAGTTGCTTATTAGCATGCCTATTACTAGGATATTGGCTGTTTATTAGTTCTTATAAAGCACATGACCATATTCTATATCCCTTAATCCTCCCCAATATCTAAACTTAACTATTCCCTTATTAACTATTAATACGCAGTAATTAGGATTTTATTGAGGCAAAAGTCGTAGTTAATAGTGAGAATTGGACCCTAATCTAAAGTGTGACCAATGACTTTTAAACTATATATTCTAGCCCCTAACCCTACCCATCACAGAAAACTTTCTGCATTTTTTACATTTTCAAAAACTTTGTTTTGTATAATTTATAAGCAGTTTTCCTTAAGAAGCCCTTAAAAAGTCCAAAGGTCAAAAATGACTGGAATTGCTATCTTTGTGGGGACATTGGGTCCCCATAACATAAGGAATACCAGGTACACACACGCAGGCACACACACACACATTGAATTATTACATTTTTTCAAGAAAATTCAAAGCAAACAAAACAACAAGTGGTGCTTGTCTGTTCAAAACGACCACATAAGACGCTGTAGTAGCCAGGGCATCACTACGCAGTTGGTAAGCTGTTCTGAGTTGTTTTAGCTTGTTACTATGCGGTTGTTAGGTACTGACTGATTGCGAGGGCATTGCTAGGTGGTTCCTTACTAAATATGTGCAAAACTGCCAGAATGATATAATGTTGAAGGTGTTTGCCAGGCTACACTGGCTGTTTGTTAGATGGTTGCTTACAGGTCCAGTCAAAAGATCCCAAGCCCTAGTTCTTAATGATATTCTGGTCTAGGTATGGCTCAGAACCCTCCATCATCATAAGTCTACAGGATGATTCCACCCATTTTACTGTGCACCAGGTGAAAATGAAAAGTCTGATCGCTTTACAAAAGTAAATAGCACACCTCTCTTCAACAAGCCACACAATCTGAGGCATAATTCAAACGTCTGTAAACGAGTCATGACGAGTTTAATAATCAGGGTTAGGGGTTGGTTTAAATCCCTAACCCTTAGTTTAAACAATATTAATGGCCATGCTTGCCTTTGCAAGTACCACTAATTATGAAATATCCAGTGATTCATTTCTTATGTGAGAACAACGCCCAGTCGTGACCCACATAGACTGAGTGGCGCCGACCACACCTCTCATTTTTATTGTGACCTTAAAGCGATTTACAGGCAGAGCTAATAATTGTGCACAGCTAATAAAGATTTACGTCTATTTTAAAACATGAAAATGATCTGTCAGGAGGAATTCATGAAAGGAAAAAAGGAGGCTAAATGGTGACGGTGCTTCAGAATGGTCAAAAAATGTCTATAGCGGGCAGGAGAATTAAATCTGCCCGAAAGAAAAGATGACCGTCGGAGCCTGGGAGAAGCAGCAGAGAAAAGAAGCCAGAGAGCGGGTGGGACGGAGGGAGGGGCACGTGGTAGTAATAACCTGATTTATTTTTAGAGGGCCTTTTGTTTTTCCTGGAAGGTCTTGATGAAAACCTCCCATTGGGCCTCGGTTTGAAACTAACTGTGGTAGTCTGGGACTTACTGTGGTCACCATTTCGTATTATCTTACATCATTCGTGCTGCCAAATAGTGCTTCGTTTCAAAAGAACGTTGTGGTAGGTCACTGCCGGTCTGCCAAATTTTGCTCCCAAACAGAAGCTGGCCTCCTCTGAATTGACTAAGTATCACAACGTGGCCTAATTGGCTGCCGGGACAGTAATTGAATCAGGAGGCAAATACCACAGAGGTTAGCGTTTGGCTAGCGTGCGCTTCTCAAAGAGAACAGAGCACGGCCCGAAACCCCTGTAAGTCTTAAGAAGAAAACTCTCCATAATCTGGGAGAAATCAGATAGCTTCACTTGCGTTTGTCTGATACGGCCAAGCGAGAGGACGTTTCAGGGAATTCAAGTAGACATGATATTTTCGAAACCTCTCTATCTTAAACAGAATGATGAGATTACTTACAAATAAATGCAAGCAACTTATTCACTGAGGTAGAAGAGTAAATGTCAGCAGTATTAGTGTTACGGCATACAAACTCAAGAAGGAGAACAACAGAAAATGATAAGACTGATGGATTGGTGTGGTTTTTCAGCTGTGAACATAAGAGGTGTTGGTGGAGAAGTGACAAATGAGTTTAGCCTGCCTCTAGTCAATATTTGAAAAGGTGTGGAGAGGAAACGGCAAAAGAAAGAAGGTATTAAAAACACTTTTACCGTTCAATAAAAATAATGATTGTTTTTTTCAAATAGTTCTCCTGAACCTTCAAACTCTTGGTAACTTACAGTTACAGTTATCCCTGCGTATTAAACTGGCAGAGAAGAAACTATTTTAACATTGAAAAGAAAACTATGAACTACTAAGACACTGATATGATATATTATGAAAGCACTGAAGCCATAAAACATATGTTTTTAATCTTTTTAGTTTCCTGATTGTCTAAACCTAGAATTCAATGTAATTATTGAAACTGTCGACTGTTTTGTGGTATCCTCAAGATAAATATACTGATGGATAAGCAGAACTAATGCTGGGAGCAGGTCTGGAGGCAAAGTAACCAGTCAAATGCAAGAGTGTATGGTGTAAATATGTGTGTGTTGATTACCTCAGCATCCTGGGCCTGTAGGTTATAAGTAGTCTGAAGGAGTCTTAGCGTAGACAGACTCAGCTTTGGTTCCTCTAGAAGAAACTCCAAAAGAAGCACAAGCTGCTCTGGACTCAACTGAAACAGAAAAACAAAAGGGTTGTGAATAATTTCATATAGCTAACGTACAGTGGCGTCATGCACTTAGTATTTTTGAGGGGGCACCACTTTGGGAGAAGGGGGGGGGGTCATAATATAATAAAACTTTACTTTAGCTTTCATGTCATCATATCCGATTATACTTCTGAATTATCGGAGCGAGAACATGCATTATTAACGCATTTACTGTCTCTATTCCAGAATATCAGGCCTGCAACTGCATATATAAATCCAGAATCAATTTAGTCTTCCATGTATTTTGTTGCTTATAGAAACAAACAAATTTAAAGCATATAAGAACTGACACCGCAAGGCGAACTGCAGCTTATCTCAGCATTGTGCAGTGCTTTTTGTGAATCAAAGTCCTGCAAACCGAATTATATTTTACAAACTATAAATGTTTTTGCTAGTTTTTATCTGTATTTAAAATGTCATAAACATAAAATAAACATTATATGGTTAAAAACACTGAACAGTTGTGATATATGTCTCTTGGTTTAAATGGGCATGACGTCTCCGCTAACATATACAGTGAGGTCCTCCATATATGTATATTGTTCAAAAGTTTGAGATCTGTAGGTTTTTTTTTAAAAAGGAATTACATCTTTTATAGAACAAAGATGTATGAGAGAACAGACACTTATAATGTGCTGTTCTTTAGGTTTTTTATTGTAAAAAAATACATTGATAATTGATAATAATAAATGTTATAAAATAATAAATAATAATAAATGTTTCTTGAGCACCAAATTAGCATATCAGAATGATTTCTGCAAGATCATATGACACTGACATTATTTTATATTTATTTAAATATTTACAATATTTTATTATTGCTAAATATAGTAAAATAAGAAATTAAATGCCAACCAAAAAACATCAAAATGTATTTGATTGGTTATTAGTGAAATAGTGAAGAATCATACAGTAACTTTCTTTTTCATTCTCTTTTTTTTTTTGTTTCAAATGCTTTAAATCATAATACTTTCTGTTTATATAGTTTAGGATTCAATTTTATTTAGAACCCTAGATTTTCAATGTGATTTTTTTTTTTCATTCATAATTTAAATAAGACTTGATCGGGCACAATGTGAAACGTAGATAAAGACTCAGATGAAACACACCACAAAATGATTTACAGGTTTCAAATAGCATCCACAAACCATGCCGGCATTTTCAGAAGGTTGAATAAGACATCAATGCTGTCTTTGAAGCGCATCAGAGAGCCGAGCGGGAAAAGAGAAGCACGTTTCGAGCACGAGCTCGGAGTGGGAAGAGCATTCCCAGTGCCGCTGCTAGCCATTTTGGTGCCCTAAGCATAATTCCTTTATGATGCCCCCCCGCCCCCCCCCCCTAAAAAAAAAAAAAACATTTTAATTTAGGATTTTCATTTAGGGGGGCTAAGCCCCCAATGAGGGTATGATTTATAAAAAAAATGCAAAAATTAAAAAGTAACACTTTAGTTTAGGGTCTAATGCTTACTATTAACTAGTTTCATTACCATGCAATGGCATGGTTTTATAATCACTGGGGTTCCGAATTTGAGGCAGGTTAGTTAGGGGTGTTCGGGGGAAATTTTGGATTTTTCTGAACTACAGATGTGCATTTTAAGATGTTGTGAAGGCAAAAAAAAAAAAAAATATATATCGATAACAACAGCTTTAAAACCATGTCAGTGGGCAGCTGATTATTTTTCTCTCCTCATCAGCATCACACTCTTTTCTCTTTGTTTTTATCTTGCCCTGTCTCTTCCCCTCCTAAAGTTGGCTTTTTTTAATTTTCTAAAGGTTACAATTTGTATTTTATTCTCAATATGTACACATTCATTATTAATCCTGTGGCTAACATGATGAAAACGGCTTTGTTCATGTTTCTTGTCCCCTCACAATGACAATAGCCTAAACTATTACACTAGGCTACATGTTACATAGGCCTATTTTCAGTTCAAAATAGCGAAATTAGACAAAACTATATTAGTTTGCCTAATTATTTTTTGTCATTCGTTTAACATTTATGACCTAAAAAAAACTGTCAAATAAAGTTAAGTTTAGCTACTTACATCTTATCTCGCACTTGACCGTACACTGAAGCGTCGAGTTGCACTGTTAAAATTCGCGCTCAGCGTCTGTGAACATAAAGCCCGCCTACTTTGATTTGATTGGTCATCTCAAATATTCTGACATTGACGAGCAGTGACAGACCAATGAGGCTCAGATGAACAAACACATGACACACACACACACACACACACACCCTGTCCTGTGTTTCTGACGTGCTCTCTGTCTCTGCTCGGCGCCACTGCGGTCAAGTGGGCCGCGCGTTGAAAATACACGGTCAAGCCAGCCGCACATTTTTTTTAGTATGCGCGTCTAATCGTGTACTTACGGTATGGGTGCTGAAAGAGGTCAAACTTGATTTTTAGACTCTATTTTCTGCTATTTTCCATCTTATTAGGACACAAATAATATATATTTTTTAACTATTTTAATGTTTGTATGCCTAAATATGATTAACATTAATTATTACATAATTTATTCATGTTCATATTCATTTTAATTATCCTTAATATTTTTACATTTTTATTTTTAATGTTTATATATATATATATATATATATATATATAAATTGTATACATTAATTATTATAATATATTTATTAATGCTAATGAAATGTAATAATAATGTTATTTATCATACATTTATTTTAAATTTGTATTGTTGATTTAATTATTAGGCCTATATATCAGGTATTAATGTCTATTTACTTATTTTTAATTTGAATGTTTATATAGTATACATTAATTATTGTAATATATTTATTAATGCTAATGAAATCTGTAATATTGATGTTAATTATCATACATTTATTTTACATTTGTATTGTTGATTTTAATGTTTGTGTATAAATAAAGAATACATTTAATTATTTTACATCATGTATAAATGTTTATTTATTTATTTACTTACATTTTTCATTTTAATGTAAATGACAAATATGATACAACAGGCTTTTGGTGGCTTTAATCTGTCAATTATCCATGAATTGCATATATGAACAATTCAAACATAATCTATGAAATATGCTTGCATACCTGATGAATGAAACACAAATGATATTTAAAACACATGCACACACACACACACACACACATATACACACAATTTATATATACAAGTAGGCTATGTTATATTACTGTATAGTTTTTGAAGAAAAGGCAAACTCACCCCACACATCAAAGTGCATTCTATCACTTACACCATGTCCCATTTTCAAACACTCATAAAAAGTGTTCCTTCATAGGTTTGCTCATTTTTTCATTGGATTCCTGTTCAGAATAACCCTGGCTATTACTGTAATTATTTTCTAGTCATTTTACTGTATAGTTTTGGAGAAAAGTAAAGGCAAACTAACCCCAATCATCAAAGTGCATTCTATCACTTACACCATGTCCCATTTTCAAACACTCATAAAAAGTGTTCCTTCATAGGTTTGCCCATTCTTACATTTGATTAATGTTCAGAGTGACTCTGACTATTACTGTAATTATTGTCAAGTCATTTTACTGTATAGTTCATAAAAAGTGTTCCTTTATAGGTTTGCTCATTCTTTCAATATATTCCTGTTCAGAGTGACTCTTAATATTACTGTAATTATTTTCAAGTCATTTTACTGTATAGTTTTGGAGAAAAGTAAAGGCAAACTCAGTCACTAGTGCATTCTATCACTTTACACCATGTCTCATGTTCAAACACTCATAAAAAGTGTTCCTTCATAGGTTTGCTCATTCTTTCAATATATTCCTGTTCAGAGTGACTCTGACTATTACTGTAATTATTGTCAAGTCATTTTACTGTATAGTTTTGGAGAAAAGTAAAGGCAAACTCACCCCAATCATCAAAGTGCATTCTATCACTTACACCATGTCCCATTTTCAAACACTCATAAAAAGTGTTCCTTCATAGGTTTGCTCATTCTTTCAATATATTCCTGTTCAGAGTGACTCTTAATATTACTGTAATTATTTTCAAGTCATTTCACTGTATAGTTTTGGAGAAAAGTAAAGGCAAACTCACCCCAATCATCAAAGTGCATTATAGCACTTACACCATGTCCCATGTTCAAACACTCATAAATACTGTTCCTTCATAGGTTTGTTCATTCTTTCAATATATTCCTGTTCAGAGTGACTCTTAATATTACTGTAATTATTTTCAAGTCATTTTACTGTATAACTTTGGAGAAAAGTAAAGGCAAACTCAGTCACTAGTGCATTCTACCACTTACCATGTCTCATGTTCAAACACTCATAAAAAGTGTTCCTTCATAGATTTGCTCATTCTTTCAATATATTCCTGTTCAAAGTGACTCTGACTATTACTGTAATTATTGTCAAGTCATTTTACTGTATAGTTTTGGAGAAAAGTAAAGGCAAACTCACCCCAATCATCAAACTGCATTCTATCACTTACACCATGTCCCATTTTCAAACACTCATAAAAAGTGTTCCTTCATAGGTTTGCTCATACTTTCAATATATTCCTGTTCAGAGTGACTCTTAATATTACTGTAATTATTTTCAAGTCATTTTACTGTATAACTTTGGAGAAAAGTAAAGGCAAACTCAGTCACTAGTGCATTCTATCACTTAACACCATGTCTCATGTTCAAACACTCATAAAAAGTGTTCCTTCATAGGTTTGCTCATTCTTTCAATATATTCCTGTTCAGAGTGACTCTGACTATTACTGTAATTATTGTCAAGTAATTTTACTGTATAGTTTTGGAGAAAAGTAAAGGCAAACTCACCTCAATCATCAAAGTACATTCTAGCACTTACACCATGTCCCATGTTCAAACACTCATAAAAACTGTTCCTTTATAGGTTTGTTCATTCTTTCAATATATTCCTGTTCAGAGTGACTCTTAATATTACTGTAATTATTTTCAAGTCATTTTACTGTATAGTTTTGGAGAAAAGT